TAAGATCCTCAAACAGCCCAACATTTGTTTTTTTTGAAACTATTTCAATGATATATCGACGTAGCTCAAGTAGTGGCTAAATGTCAAAAGTTCTAGACTATAACATGGTGTAAAAATTCTGCAATGTTGCAGGTTTAAATCTTTAGACTTTGACAAAATAATATGTTAAGTGATATAAAAAGGAAGTACATGAAAAATTCTTCCTAAAGTTCAAATTACTGCCACAATGTTGGTTGCCTCTATGTAAGCTTTTGTTTGAATGACTATTGTTACCAACCAGGTGGGCACCAGGTGAGAGGAGTGAGGTTGATTAACAGAGAACCACAGGACACAGGTGAGTGTAATGACACTAATTAACCCTGGAGAAACAGACAGACAGGAAGTGTCACAGACAGGCCTGACAGATATGTTTTAATGTAAGTAAGAAAATATATATATATATATATATTTGCAGCAAATGTTTACATTCTACAGTATATAAAGCAGCAATTACTTCCTGTTTACATCATGTAATTCAGACTGTGTCACCCTAGCTCTTAGAGAATTATTTGTCCCTACCTGTTGTTGAATAATTCTCTGAGAGATGAAAACAAACACAGACACACTAGGCCACAGTGCATGCTCAGCGCTTGTTATTAAGGTAACATTGATTTTTGTCTGTCTAATTTTTCATACTGATAAATGTCACCTATTGGTGATGCAGTGCTGGAACCAGATGGTTTAGTCACAGAGCCTTTCATATGAACCAAAATAGCAGGCAGTGCCTGGAGACACCTACACAGTCCATCCAGCCAGGACTTACCTCTGTACTAATCACACCTGAGAGACTGATAGACAGCCCTGCAGCTTTTCTGCACAGATGTCAGATATAATCCATAAAAGGCAACATGACATTCAAGTTAATCAGTGGGCTCCTGTCACTGCTGACTAAGATGCAGACTCACTGTCATCTGTGGTGTTTAATCAGCAGAGACTCTGGCTTCACGACTTAAGCTGCCTTCTAGGTAACAGAAATATGGTTCTAGACGTTTCCTTTACTGTCATGAAAACCCCAGAGGTCTCGGGCCACCCACACCACTGCAGGTGAACAGAGAAGATGATGCTGAAGAAATGTTACAAATTCTGAAAATGACATCTGAGGCTCCAACATGCACCAGATGGTTAATATTGTTCTGATTTATATTTGGTTTAGCCTGAAGGAGGAGAAAATCCTGTCACACTTGTTGTTTGTCCTTGTTAGTGTTCAGTTTGTGTTGAAAAGCTGCTGTGACAGGAGTCCACTGTTGGTAGAAATGATAACAAACAAACCAAAAAAAATCCTTGTTGCTGCTCTTTTGATTTTTGACATAAAACCCAGCATTTTAGTTATTTTTGGTGACAGGAAAATGTTGTTTGATATTTTTGAATGTATACAAAGCTAAATAAATATAAAGGAAGAAAGCTGCACAAATTGACTTTTAAACGTAAGTTAAGTTGTTAAATCCATCATGAAAACTCTTTCAGTACAGAAAACAAAAACCAAACGGTTACTGTGGTAACCATAGGGATGACTTTTTAGGGTCAGACTGTAGAACATTTTGTCTCTAATATTGTAGCAATTAAAAAAAAAAATTTCCCCAATGGTCATGTGTGATGATGGAGTTAACAAAATGAAGTCGTTATAACTGCAAATGTTCACACACCATAATGTGGCACTAAGAGAGACCAGCCAACTCGCCACTGCTGCTACCAGTTTCACTTACAGAAGAATCTTACAATGCAAGTGTGAAGACTGAGGCAGTGTACGATAGTTACCAACTCTGACAAAAGATAATCATTTTATGATGAATTTACTGTATTGTAGTTGTCAGTTTTCTTTTCTTTTTACATTTTTGAGCCTTTTAAAACTCCAAATTTGAAGTGGCAACACATTCATTCATACATGTATTTATTTACTTTGAAATGCGTCTCATTTTTTTCAATCATTCATATTTAATAGTATTATGAAGTTCTCAACCAGACTACCACCGGTGGCTCGTGAGACCTATTATCATGGGGAAAGAAAAGTGAGAAAAACTGTCTCTTACTCTTCTTTCCATCATAATTATCTTTACCTCTCTGTCCTGCTGTTATTCACTCTTACTCTTACCGTATGATCATCGAAAAAACTTTTTCTAGTCTAATTTGTATGGATGGGACACCACAACCAGTTCTTGTAGAGAACTGGCTCCCAATGGTCTGGTGCCTTGTAACTGTCTGTCAATTCTATTGAATGATTTCACAGAACATTTGCTTGATGTATGACTTGGTTTTTTCAATAAAACGTTGTTTTCATGCATTTTTTATTTGTTGTTAAAGACAAGTTTACATTAAAGAGTTAATGTGAATTAATTCATGCATTTTTTGTTTGTTGTTAGACAACTTTACATTAAAGAGTTAATGTGAATTAACCTATTTATATTATATTTAACTAATAAGACTAGATGTGAAAGACTAGAATCAGTACTGAATCAACACAATAACTGAAGATAAATAATAAACTAAAACCAGAATTGGTCACTTCTCATCAGTTCTCATCCCTATTCATTTCCAGAACTCACTTGAAGCAACACAACAATGTGCTCTTGAATATAGAAGAAGAGTTGCCAGGGTTCAGGGCTCTCTTACTGCCCACTCAATCCCACTCCAGTTTTCTATAAGGCTGGGTGAAGTCTGTACTCTCACTCTCCTGCTAATACCAGGGACCCTCCAACAGATGACATGGAGGAGAGGTTTTTCAGCAGGCTGCTGAATAGTAGAATATAGTATCATTTGGTAGCCTGTACAAAAGAGTAAATATCGTTCACTGGTTTGATCTTCTAGCCAGCGTACACCTGCTAAAGCGCTGCAGTAAAAACCATTGTATGCATTGGTTCACCTGTTCTCTGAACCAATGTCTGTGGTTTGTAAACATGACAAATGCAGGGATACAGGTGCGGATGAGACAGAGTGAAGAGAGATGGTACATTTGATTTTGTATATTCGATTATCATATCCAATATATTTAAATAACACAAAGGACATTTCTCATAATTTTGCTTTGTGTTTGTGTGCATTTCTGCTTAAAGCACTATGTCAATAAATCAGGTTGAGATTATGGGAATTTAATGACACTGACGGTGGTCCAGGTGTGGATGTGGATTTATAATATTTTTATATTGACAATGGTGAACCAGTGGAAAACCAGTATGTCTGCTAATGTGATATTATTATGACAACATACTTTGTAATCAAGGATTTCCTCACGTTTTTGTTTGGCGTTGTCTCCTGTCAGACCGGAGGTCACAGGTCTGTAATGTACAGTAATAACCAGCAACATGATGCACAGCTTTGTTTGGCCTCATAAGTGATCTCCTGGCCTATGAGTGAATCAGGAACCAGTATTTGAAAGTCACTGCCCTACTTTTTGAACATGACAATGTGTTTGTTTTTTGAGGTCCTCACTGTTTGTTGTCTCCATTGTCCTGTGGTAGTCTTTGTTCTTCAGACCCAGCCTTGTCCCCACATCTCAACCTGAATACGATTGATTACAAGTGTGCACGCACACACGAACATCACAAACACACACAAAGGAACACTCACACACACGCGCTGTCATCTGTTCAAGCAGAAGAGTGGACATTACAGACCAGTGTAAACAAGAGAAGGTCAGAGAAAGAATGTTAAATTGCACGGAGGCAGGTGTGTGTGCATGTGTGTTTTCAAAGGCTCTTATCGGCATGAAACAGCTCTGAGTCATATTGCCTGTTGACCTGGACAGGTCATCGCTCAGCTACTGTAATGGCACACGGCTCGGCTCATACTGGTTACCAATTAAAGACAAAAAGACAAAACCACAGAATTTATACTGACACAAGTTTGATGAGAGAAATCCTGCAGCATAAAAAACAGCAGTGAACTGAGCCCTATATTACATTAGCTTTCACTTTTCATACCAGGTGTGGAATTCATGGAAGGTCACAGAAAACTTTCTTCCTTCAATAGATAAATGTGATAAGAGCCTATGAATCACATACATATTTCATCACTCAGTTAAAGCCAAAACTGAAGTTTTCTTTGAATAAGAAAAACAGCTTTCAGAGGAAACATAAATGAAGGCCAGCTGCTTTGTACAAAGGACTTATTGTACAAAATGGTACAACATCAAAGAGCACTCAGAATTTATTACATAACCCACCCTAGTGCATTTGATGAGAACGTTTATTCCACTGTCAATAGGAGAAAAAAAAGGTACAATAGGTACAATAATAGCAGCCAGAGGGCGACACAACTAACCCTTTTTCTCTTAAGTTGGTCATAAATATCATCACCAGTGTCATGCAACATGACACGCTACATTAGTGCAATGTATGTTTAACACAGTAAAGTATTTGTCAAAATATTGTGATGAGCAGCTCCACAAAGCAGCACAGCTCTGTGCTAACTTTAGCCTGCCAGCCAGTCGGTGCTAACTTGTGCTAAGCTAAGTTGTTCTATGTTCTCTTGTTTATTTATTTATTTGTCCTTTTTCTTTTGATCCCAAGCCACAGAGATGGGAAAGTACATGTTGTGTGAAACTGTCTGTCTGGTTGGCTGTTTTCTCCTCACAGACACAGAGTGAGAGTGTGTACAAGTGCAGGTTTCTCCGCCCATGTGTGCAGGTGTGAAGTCTGGTGCACGATTGTGCGATTGTTGTTGTTCAATGAGCGTGTCTGTGAGAATCTGCTCCTTCAGGCGGACCAAGTGTACTTTGGCTGTTTGTCACCTCTATATCAACAAGAGAAGAGCTTTGCCTAATGGGCTTTAAACTGTGCCGACTCACTAACCTTCAGTCCCACGGGAGGCATAGAGAGAAGAGAGGCAAATTGAACAATTAAATGTGTTTTTGTTAATTATCCAGCGTCAAATGTGTGATATTATCCTACGGCATGTTTTTACCATGCTGCTTTTTTTTTTAAAAATTGTTTTTAATCATTCATTTGTTTTTTTTTCCATATTCACAGGAAACAGTGGAATATGCCTTCCTCATTATTTTTACCGTAGAGACATTTCTGAAGATTATTGCCTACGGCCTGGTCATGCACCAAAACTCCTATGTCAGAAATGGCTGGAATCTGCTGGACTTTGGCATCGTCATAATCGGGTGGGTTTGTATGTAGCACCACAAACACACTCAAACACATGAACTGAAGCATATTAGCAGATGCCTGGTGAATATGAATGCAATTCAAGAATATAGACAAAATATATAAAGCAATATAAATGCTAACATTTTTAGCATCTGGACATTCAGCCCTGTAGACACTGCAGAGCACACACACACACAGCTGACAGCTCTGGCACGTAAACTGTGATGAGTTGTGTAAAGGTAAATATGCACAGACATAAAGGATATGCACAAAAAACCATATATGAAACAACACACGTCCAGGTGCAGCGCATACAGACAGGAAGACGCAGGGATTTGCTCTTTTCACTCTTTCTCTTCTGCTTTCATCTTTCTCTTGCTTTTTATATGACATTGCCATCACTGCTTTCTTTTCTCTGACATCCTAGTTCTCCTCTGCCCATTTTTAATCCCACTACAGGTTGTTCAGTGTTGTTCTAGAGATGATAACCAAAGATTCTGACTCTGGTGGACAGTCTGGGGGCAAGCCTAGTGGGTTTGATGCCAAGGCCCTTCGAGCCTTTCGTGTTCTACGACCGCTCCGCCTTGTGTCTGGAGTTCCCAGTAAGTCAGTTCATACCTTAAAAGTCTGAAACACATCAGTAAAGCTACATTTATATATTAAATGTTTTGTCCATCAGTATATCAGACAGTAATGTACTGAATATAGAATAGGAAGTAAAGTATATCAGACACAGAGCCCCCCCACGGACTCACCCACACGGTGCTGGCCCTGTCTTCTAATAAAGGGAGAGTTTAAAATATTGATCAAAATACAAGAATCCTACATACAGTTCCTCTGTAGAAGGACTGGAGAATGTTTTTTTTTTTTTAGGGTTTCTTTATTCACTTTTGACCTAAAAAAAAAACTTTGCTCAAGTGTGTATGTGCATATGTCTGTGTGTGTGTTCTTCTTGTTGCCATAGCAACATATCAAATACCAGTCTGAGGGAGGAAATGAGCTCGATGAATTTATCTATACATTAATTTTCATTTTTCTGTCCTACTATACATCATGATTCGTGCAGTTGGTTGGTTGGTGCAGGTAGTGTTATTTTGTCATCTTCTGCATATCTTTGTGCAGGTCTACAGGTGGTTTTAAACTCAATTATTAAAGCCATGGTTCCTCTGCTTCACATCGCTCTGCTCGTCCTCTTCGTCATCATCATCTACGCCATCATTGGTCTGGAACTCTTCATTGGCAAAATGCACGCTACATGCTATGTGGTTAAAACAGGTAATTGTTTTTACGTTTTATTAATACCACATATACTCTCTCTCTCTCTCTCTCTCTCTCTCTCTCTCTCTCT